TTTGGGTATATACCCAAGAGAGGAATGGCTGGATCTTGAGGTAGACTGATTCCCATTTTTCTGAGCAACCGCCATACTGATTTCCAGAGTGGTCTTACAAGTTCGCACTCCCACCAGCAATGGAGGAGTGTTCCTTTTTCTCCACATCCTCTCCAGCATAGATTGTCATTGGTATTTTTGATTTTAGCCATTCTGACAGATGTGAGGTGGTATCTCAGGGTTGTTTTGAGTTGCATTTCTCTGATGGCCAATGTTTTGAGCACTTTCTTAAGTGTCTTTCAGCCATTTCAGATTCCTCTGTTGAGAATTCTCTATTTAGTTCTGCACCCCACTTTTTAATTTCATTGGTTGGTGTTTTGGTGGCTAGCTTCTTGAGCTCCTTATATATTTTGGAAATCAGCCCTCTGTCAGATGTGGGATCGGTGAAGATCTTTTCCCATTCTGTGGGTGGTCGTTTTGTCCTACTGACTGTTTCCTTTGCCTTGCAGAAGCTTCTCAGTTTCAGGAGGTCCCATTTATTAATCGCAGACCTCAAGGTCTGTGCTACTACAGCCAGTGCTCTTAACCTCTGAACCATCTCTCCAGCCCCTTAGCTACTTTTTGATTCCTGTGATAAGGCGCGGTGACCAAGGCAACTTCTAGAAGAAAGTTTACATTAGGGTTTTACAATTTCAGGGGATGAATCCATGAAAATCACATCAGGAAGGATGGCAACAAGCAGGCAGACATGGCTCTGGAGCAAAAATTGAGAGATATAAGCCACAAGGCAGAGTGAGAGAGATTACTGGGAATAGCCTGGGCTTTTGAAACCTAAAACATGTCCCCAAATGACATACCTCCTCCAAACAGTTCCACCAATGGGGCACCAAGCATTGGCATAGATGAGCCTCTGGGGGCCTTTCTCATTCAAACCACCACAGGAGTTCAGAAGTACAAGGTCATCCACAGGTATCCAGCAAGTTTGGGGACAGCCTGGAGTATATGGAGACCTTACCTTAAATAAAAACAAAGGTAGGGCTATAAAAATGGCCAGAGATGGTATCAGGTCCATGTGGGTGCTGGGAATCAAACCCAGGACCCCTGGAAGAGTAACCAATGTACTCTAGCCAACTTCTCCAGCCTCCTACCCCCAGAGACTTTGTAACCTGTTGAGAGGGTTAGTAAATATATATAGAATGGATCCTAGTTTGAGAGCTGCAGCAGGAAACAAAGACTCTGAATTTATACATTGTAGCTTGTAGTTGGCTATGATACAATTTGCTACAAAATAACAGTTTGTTCAATGGCAGGCCACATAGACAACAATGGTCTCATAAGATACTATCTAGTGATTGCTGTGTTGTTAAGTACACTCCTCTAATATTTACACAATGACAAAGGTGTATTTCCCACAATGACGCCTTTTCACTACAATGCATGACTGCACATGTAAAAGTAACAGAGGCTACGGAAGGTAGGAAAAAGTAAAGCACAATGAAGAAATGCATAGAATATAGAAATAGCTGTTTGGAGGGTTTTTTTAAATTCTTTTTGGCTTTTTGAGACAGGGTTTCTCTGTGGTTTTGGAGGCTGTCCTGGAACTAGCTCTTGTAGACCAGGCTGGTCTCGAACTCACAGAGATCCACCTGCCTTTGCCTCCCGAGTGCTGTGATTAGAGGCATGTGCCACCAACACCCGGCAGTTTTTTTCTTTTTTTAAAGGGAAAATATTTATTGAATTTTGTAAAATCCTAACTCTCGTGTGTGTGTGTGTGTGTGTGTGTGTGTGTGTGTGTGTGTGTGTGTGTGTGTGTGTGTGTGTGTGTGTGG